CCTAGCCTATAAGTAGTCTCTGTAATAGAGTATTTTTTTGAGGTACAACTGATTTTGGGGAATCATTTCCTTGGGGGTGAAAATGAATTTTTTTAGCATATTTTTTATCTGCCAGCCTTTCAGAAGCTTTCTCACACCATGCCACCTAGCCTATAAATAGTCTCTATAATAGAGTATTTTTTTGAGGTACAACTGATTTTAGGGAATCATTTCCTTGGGGGTGAAAATGAATTTTTTAGCATATTTTTTTATCTGCCAGCCTTTCAGAAGCTTTCTCACACCATGCCACCTAGCCTATAAATAGTCTCTATAATAGAGTATTTTTTTGAGGTACAACTGACTTTGGGGACTCATTTCCTTGGGGGTGAAAATTAATTTTTTAGCATATTTTTTTATCTGCCAGCCTTTCAGAAGCTTTCTCACACCATGCCACCTAGCCTATAAATAGCCTCTATAATAGAGTATTGTTTTGAGGTACAACTGATTTTGGGGAATCATTTCCTTGGGGGTGAAAATGATTTTTTTAGCATATTTTTTTATCTGCCAGCCTTTCAGAAGCTTTCTCACACCATGCCACCTAGCCTATAAATAGCCTCTATAATAGAGTATTGTTTTGAGGTACAACTGATTTTGGGGAATCATTTCCTTGGGGGTGAAAATGAATTTTTTAGCATATTTTTTTATCTGCCAGCCTTTCAGAAGCTTTCTCACACCATGTCACCTAGCCTATCAATTGTCTCTATAATAGGGTATTCTTTTGAGGTACAACTGATTTTGGGGAATCATTTCCTTGGGGGTGAAAATTAATTTTTTAGCATATTTTTTTATCTGCCAGCCTTTCAGAAGCTTTCTCACACCATGTCACCTAGCCTATAAGTAGTCTCTGTAATAGAGTATTTTTTTGAGGTACAACTGATTTTGGGGAATCATTTCCTTGGGGGTGAAAATGAATTTTTTAGCATATTTTTTTATCTGCCAGCCTTTCAGAAGCTTTCTCACACCATGTCACCTAGCCTATCAATTGTCTCTATAATAGGGTATTCTATTGAGGTACAACTGATTTTGGGGAATCATTTCCTTGGGGGTGAAAATTAATTTTTTAGCATATTTTTTTATCTGCCAGCCTTTCAGAAGCTTTCTCACACCATGTCACCTAGCCTATAAGTAGTCTCTGTAATAGAGTATTTTTTTGAGGTACAACTGATTTTGGGGAATCATTTCCTTGGGGGTGAAAATTAATTTTTTAGCATATTTTTTTATCTGCCAGCCTTTCAGAAGCTTTCTCACACCATGTCACCTAGCCTATAAGTAGTATCTGTAATAGAGTATTTTTTTGAGGTACAACTGATTTTGGGGAATCATTTCCTTGGGGGTGAAAATTAATTTTTTAGCATATTTTTTTATCTGCCAGCCTTTCAGAAGCTTTCTCACACCATGTCACCTAGCCTATAAATTGTCTCTATAATAGGGTATTCTTTTGAGGTACAACTGATTTTGGGGAATCATTTCCTTGGGGGTGAAAATTAATTTTTTTGCATATTTTTTTATCTGCCAGCCTTTCAGAAGCTTTCTCACACCATGTCACCTAGCCTATAAGTAGTCTCTGTAATAGAGTATTTTTCTGAGGTACAACTGATTTTGGGGAATCATTTCCTTGGGGGTGAAAATGAATTTTTTAGCATATTTTTTTATCTGCCAGCCTTTCAGAAGCTTTCTCACACCATGCCACCTAGCCTATAAATAGTCTCTATAATAGAGTATTTTTTTGAGGTACAACTGATTTTGGGGACTCATTTCCTTGGGGGTGAAAATTAATTTTTTAGCATATTTTTTTATCTGCCAGCCTTTCAGAAGCTTTCTCACACCATGTCACCTAGCCTATAAATTGTCTCTATAATAGGGTATTCTTTTGAGGTACAACTGATTTTGGGGAATCATTTCCTTGGGGGTGAAAATTAATTTTTTTGCATATTTTTTTATCTGCCAGCCTTTCAGAAGCTTTCTCACACCATGTCACCTAGCCTATAAGTAGTCTCTGTAATAGAGTATTTTTCTGAGGTACAACTGATTTTGGGGAATCATTTCCTTGGGGGTGAAAATTAATTTTTTAGCATATTTTTTTATCTGCCAGCCTTTCAGAAGCTTTCTCACACCATGCCACCTAGCCTATAAATAGCCTCTATAATAGAGTATTGTTTTGAGGTACAACTGATTTTGGGGAATCATTTCCTTGGGGGTGAAAATGAATTTTTTAGCATATTTTTCTATCTGCCAGCCTTTCAGAAGCTTTCTCACACCATGTCACCTAGCCTATCAATTGTCTCTATAATAGGGTATTCTTTTGAGGTACAACTGATTTTGGGGAATCATTTCCTTGGGGGTGAAAATTAATTTTTTAGCATATTTTTTTATCTGCCAGCCTTTCAGAAGCTTTCTCACACCATGCCACCTAGCCTATAAATAGCCTCTATAATAGAGTATTGTTTTGATGTACAACTGATTTTGGGGAATCATTTCCTTGGGGGTGAAAATGAATTTTTTAGCATATTTTTTTATCTGCCAGCCTTTCAGAAGCTTTCTCACACCATGTCACCTAGCCTATCAATTGTCTCTATAATAGGGTATTCTTTTGAGGTACAACTGATTTTGGGGAATCATTTCCTTGGGGGTGAAAATTAATTTTTTAGCATATTTTTTTATCTGCCAGCCTTTCAGAAGCTTTCTCACACCATGCCACCTAGCCTATAAATAGTCTCTATAATAGAGTATTTTTTTTGAGGTACAACTGATTTTGGGGAATCATTTCCTTGGGGGTGAAAATCAATTTTTTAACATATTTTTTTATCTGCCAGCCTTTCAGAAGCTTTCTCACACCATGGCACCTAGCCTATAAATAGTCTCTATAATAGAGTATTTTTTTGAGGTACAACTGATTTTGGGGAATCATTTCCTTGGGGGTGAAAATTAATTTTTTAGCATATTTTTTTATCTGCCAGCCTTTCAGAAGCTTTCTCACACCATGCCACCTAGCCTATAAATAGTCTCTATAATAGAGTATTGTTTTGAGGTACAACTGATTTTGGGGAATCATTTCCTTGGTGGTGAAAATCAATTTTTTAGCATATTTTTTTATCTGCCAGCCTTTCAGAAGCTTTCTCACACCATGCCACCTAGCCTATAAATTGTCTCTATAATAGAGTATTTCTTTGAGGTACAACTGATTTTGGGTAATCATTTCCTTGGGGGTGAAAATGAATTTTTTAGCATATTTTTTTATCTGCCAGCCTTTCAGAAGCTTTCTCACACCATGCCACCTAGCCCATGAATTGTCTCTGTTATAGAGTATTTTTTTGAGATATAAATCATTTTGTGGAATCATTTTTTTGGGGGTGAAAATGAAGTTTTATTTATATTTTTTCATCTAGCACCCCTTTAGAGATTTTCTCAGTATATGCTATTTAGCTCATTAATTACTTTCAATACAGTAATCGGTAAGTGAAAACTCGAAGAAAGGTTGTGGGTTAACTCTTGTTCCTGCCAATTATTTAATTAGGGTGGAAAATGATTCTTCCTATAGGGGTGCTTATTCTCGTGCATATATACGTTATATTTATTGTTGCGAGCTGTTAGCTGTATCCTTCACAATCACAGTCTGGTCGAGGATGTCGACGCCACTGGTCATTCGGGTATCTTCGGCAAATTGTCCGCTAAATTTTGTCTGCCAACTTCACACCGGTTCATAATTAGTGTTGGATTTTATTATTCTGAACCTTGTTGTTACCCTTGTTGGGGATATTTTATGAATATATGTCCATGCAGTAATCCTTCAATATGGGAAATATCATTTTCAGCAAATTTCAAATTATGAACAAACGAACGGCACGTTCCTGGCATTCGTTATTCCAAGCGCATACTCGGCATTCTTTAGATAGTTCCTCCAGATATCCAGGCAAGTAGGCGGCGCAACCATCTGACAAACGTCAACAGTATTGCCATCGTTTAACGCGCTCCCACTTCTTCATACTTATGCAATCTTATGTGTTTTGTGATCTAAGCCGTGGTCCGTGGCTTGACCTCCTATAGGCATATTTTTTAATTCACCGGTTGAGCCACCGGTGCAACCAAAATTTCCTATAAACTATATAGACAAGTTTGGTGTACAACCGGTCGCTCAGACGGAAATTAAAAGAAGAAAAATTGGTTAATTGCTTGCACCGGTGGCTAAACCGGTGAATTAAAGAATACGCCTTATCTCTAGTCTTCGTGCTAGTACTGCGTGTCCCACTCGATGCTTCCAACGTTGTATACAACGTTATTTACAGTGTTCGACACACAACAATTGGTAAGTGCGTCTGCTACACGATGGGATGAACTTTTTAGTCTCGGATGTTCGACGCATGATGGCGCCAACATCTATTATCGGTGTCAGTGTCGCGCTTGAACATTCACAACTGAAGGAAGAATTATACAAAATGAACGATGAAACAATTTTTTCGAACGCCGAAAAATAATTTCAGATCTGTCTTCAGCGACCTAAGTCTGTCAGAAGCCTCAGAAATCTCGAAAAAATAAGTTTGACCGTTTTTTTGTTTGTTTTTCGACGATCACTCCGCCGCCAGTGTACCGATTTTCAAAAACCGCAGAGCTTTTTCGTCATTTTCATAGTAGTAACCTAGCGTCAAAATTTAATCAAAATCCTGACAGTACTTTGACAGTTATCATATATTTAATCATGTTCGTTAGTTATGAAATGCAAGTCAATATATCTCTCAACTAGTCTTGCATTGCAATAGGACATTATAATGAAACAACTGTAAGCACTTGATAATTTATAATTTACTAAAATACATATCCTTAGGCCAGCCATAACTCACCTGCGAATGGTACAAAATATTAGCAATATGAAAAAGGTGTTATGGCAGCCTACGCTTTGCATGTATACTAATTTAATTCATTCTCCGCAAAAGTTGTTACGTAACATACATTATTATGAATAGGTATTCAAATCAAAATACTTCCCACATACTACTACTTCGCCGCAATCACAGCAAACAAGTAAATATTTTTTGTCGCTACTGGTTCTAACCGTCCTTTGACGCAGGTCAAATTTACCGAAGAACCCGAACGTGCCATGTGGCGAACGTTGGACACGTGATCCGCCAGCGCTCTCCCACACGATGTGGCGAATGGCCATGTGTCCAACAGTGTAAGGCATTTACCACATCGTGTGGGACCGGTTTACTTCTCAAGAAGTTTGCTTTCTGCTTTATTTCTTTCAATGATCAATTGACATATGTCACTGCTAGCTGCCAACATTTTATTCTGTCAATTGTCTCTTTTCGCGCTGTGTTTTCTTTTTGGCGAACAGCATGCGGGAAATTACTACAGATTAGTTTTCCTCCTAAAAAACAAAAAAAAACCTTGCTACAAACTAAAAAATTACTCAAAGCATTCGGATACGTATGAGATTATTGTATAGTGCATTCAAAGTGAATCTTCTTGATAAGAAATTATGATATAACGGTTGCACGATGGGGGAAGCAAAATTAGTGAGAAACGGTACCTGCAAAACGGTAGCTATAAGATACCGATTCGTGTACGAAAATGTTGGAGGAGGAGAGCCCTGCTTGGAGTTTCTCCCTCATCCGCTAATCAAATTGAAAGTTGATCCTCCAAAAACAGCAGTTCAGGATATCAACCCCGAAAGTATTAAATATGAAGATGATATCGACTATCTACGTACGTTAGATCCAAAGGAATGGAAAAGCCAGGATCATTATAAGGTTTTAGGTAAGTATTTGCATGTAGAATAGTAATATATCCAAAAAAGATGAGACATTTTATGAAAGCACTTCTTTTATAATATGGTTAAGCTTAACATCCTAGAGTGATGATTTTATCATTAAAAGTGCAAACAGACTTGCAATATTTGAACATAATGGTTTTTTATTATTACATATTACAAGTTATAGATACTTATGCCTTAGGTATACAAACTTTGAGACACAAAGCAACAGAGGAAATCATCAAAACAGCATACCGTAAAAAAGTTCTGAAACATCACCCAGATAAACGAAAAGCTAATGGTGAAGACGTTAAAAAAGATGATTATTTTACCTGTATTACAATGGCTTATGAGACTCTGGGTAACCCCCTTAGAAGAAGAGCTTATGATTCTGTAGATCCAGAATTTGATAACAATATACCAAGCGGATCTGATCTAAAAGGAGATTTTTATGATACATTTGGATATTATTTTGATTTGAATGCAAGATGGTCTGAGAGAGCACGTGTGCCTCAATTAGGGAATGCTGACTCAAGCCGAGAGGCTGTTGAGAATTTCTACTCATTTTGGTATGATTTTAAGTCTTGGAGAGAATATTCTTATGAAGATGAAGAAGATAAGGATAAATGTCAAGATAGAGATGAAAGGAGGTAGGTAGTATGTCATTTTTTATTTATGTAAATGCATCACAAGGTAGTCCCAACAGCTGGCTTCACAATCCTACACGTTGGTAGAATGCAATCGACTGAATGAATAATTGATATATGGTTACAAGTGTGCAATAGGTGCATGCATCACATGCATATGAGTTTAGCTCTATACTTATATGTATGCATATCAGTGTTATGCTGGTGTGCTATTTCATTAAATGGTTCTGCAGAGCTCATACAAAGCTATTTGTTTACACCCGAGCTTCAAAGAAAGAAGCCTGTTATGTACAGTATGCGCTCCTCGCTAAAATCTAGGGAAAAAAATTCCATGAAAATTTTCATTAGTACAGAGCTATTATAATCAATCTTCAAAAATCAGTGGTAAAGATTTGTGTATACCAGCTCCAAAGAAGGAAGCATAGGAAAACATGTTTTTCATCACAATTTTCACTAGTGTGTTAATGAGTTTTTCATGGACTAAAGTACATATCTGCAGCTATTATAACCAATTATTAAAAATCATTAACAAAGATTCATACACCCCAGAAGCCTGTCATGTATGATGTATGCTCCTCTCCAGAATCTAGGAAGAACATCTTTTCCATGAAAATGTTCACTAGTAGATTAATGAGTTTTGTATGAATCAAAGTACATGTCTGGAGCTATTCAACACTCAAACATTAGTGAGGAAGACTCATACACCACAGCTTAAAAATTAAGCTCAAGCAAAGTCCCTGCTTTGCAAAAATCTAGGAAATATATTTTTCTATAAAAATTTTCATTAGTGCATCAATGAGTTTTTCAGGGATCAAAGTAGATATCTCATAATCATTCATCAAAAATTAGTGTTGAAGATTTGTACACCCCAACTCTAAAGAAATAAGCCTGTCATGTACTGTACCTTGAAATGTAGGAAAAAACTTTTTGATGGAAATTTTCACTACTGCGCTGAATGTATCAATGTAGCTATTCAGTATCTTAATTTGCAGTTGAATAAAATGGAGACGTGTGATCTTAAATGGAAAAATGACTATATATTTTCTTGGTAGAGGAGGGCAAGGATTTCTTGTCAATAATTCCCTTTATCCCATGGTACTGTTGTCGATTTATGAAATTATAAAAATTAGGAGTTAGCAAATAATGTTATGATTTGCAACAATCTACCACATTGCGCTAAAACATGAATAGAAAACTGTGGTGATCATATAAGTAACCCTTCCATAATTTTCTCAAGATATTTTACGAATCCTTTCCCATGCTTGCTTTGTTTCCGGATTGTCTGCAGCTGTGTTGATCAATCACTCGGTCCGCGGCGCATACGATTGTGGAGCCAGGTTTTGTAGCTACCTTCACATCCATATGAACATGTATATAAAACTTATATGGCTAGTTTCTCATTAGTTGTATTCCGTACAACAGCAAAAAGTATTAAGTTGTAAATTATTGTTTATGCAGTAAAGGTATTATTAATATTGGCATAATGTTTTATCGTTGCTGTTCACTCTGTGGATAGCAACACAGTAACATAAAAATCGCATTAACAAAGTGTCTTTGAGTTCCTTACAGCAGCTGTGGTGCCCCAATATTTATTTATTTATACTCTACCCAACAGCTACAAAGCCAATTTCAGAGTAGTCCAAATATCAAAAATACATAATATCTTACATATTACACACAATTGTAGGAAGTTCAATCACAAGGATACTATATACAAATATTTACAAAAATGGCAGTGTAGATAAAAAATTAAATAGCAGACAAGACATCATAAGGAACCACGCAGCAGACAAGACATGAGAGAAATATATCTAATTGATCGGCAATGTGATTCGCTTTACCACATGAGCTATACAACGGAGAAAACTTTAAAATATTTGTTCTAGGGGTAGGCAAATAGACGGTATTGCATTGTCTAGCATTCAAACGCGGGACAAGGAAATTAAAATCATGCAATATATTGCAACAATCAATACGATTGTGCAATATATGTCACGAACTTGACACTGGACTTATCACGCCTCTCCCTAAGACTTTGAAAATCGAAAGCTTCTTCTAGAGAAGAATATTTAGGCTTCTGCCTATACAGCTGCTTCAGTATAAATAATGTCTACTATGCAATCCATTCTATTTACCATCTAATGCATTATTCACGTTCCCATTGAATACGCCAGTGGCTGATGACATTTAAGCGAGAGAGAGAGAGAGTCAAACTGTTATAGGTCTTTTTGCACCTTTTGGTTGGTCAGAGTGAAAAACTACAATAATTATTAATTTCATACATCCATCTCTCACACATACAGATCCAATAGGGCTATGCGCGGAACGTGTTTTCATGTAAGCTCACAGGCACATGTTTTTAGTGCCTTATGGCCAGTCGTTCCTACAATTGTAGAATGCCTTTATGGCCTTGATTTTCATATTCTTTTCTCTCCTTCAGAATGGCTGAGATATTTCTAGATTGCTACTGTTCCGTGTCAGCGACAGCGGTCTCCTATTGTGAGGCTTTTCTTTTTGAACTTCCTCAAAATAGAGCCCAGACACGGAACAGTAGAAAACTGAAAATCAAGGCTGCCAAAAGGCTTCCTTCAATTGAGGCACTTGGTCTAAATCCACTCTTTTGAAAATTCGCTCCATTCACATAAAAGGTATCAATCTACTTATCAGCATAAAGCTATTCTAACTCCTTGTTTCAGTCTCCAGTCAATAGATGGCGCCATAATACTCTTATTCTGATATACGAGTATAATAATAATGCATTCAGGATAATATTATATCTGAGGAGTTAGACCATTATTATTATGTGCATCAATTGTAGGAATTACTGACGATACGGCCCTTAGTTTTGTCTTACTGTTGTCAGTGTGTGAAGTTGCTTATGGGCTTGCATTTTGAATTTACCCTTGTTGATCTCCAATATAAAACACAGCATATATATATAAATAACATACAAACACAATGTCAACAGTGTTAATTTTTTTGGGTCATTTTCAAATAGTGAATAAAACTATGGTCCTCTGGTGCACAATTCATGTGTTGGTGTGTGTGTCTGGGTGCGCGGGTGTGTGTGTGGGGCTTGAATATAGAGAAATAATGAATAATATCTCGCTATAGGCTTATTTGAACAATATTCTTCTTACAGTCTCATCAGTGGTGTAGAGATTAGAAAAACCTTGTATCTTGGTAATAGGGCATTTTAGGATAATAATAATAACATTTATTCACCCAATGTACAAAGATAATAACAACATGAGTGAATAAAAATAGAATAAAAAATGCCCAATAGGAGGCATTGCCTGTACATGCACCAGTAATTTTAAGTTGCAACTGTAGAATGCAAATTACAAAAAAGGGCAAAAAATACGTACATTAGATTATGTACATACTGATGTTCGTGTTTATTAGTTCATGAATTTCAGTCCTAGATATAGAATGTAGCCACTTAGACTGCTGCATTATAGATTTATGTACGTGGCTGAGGAGCTACTGTGCCACTTATTTTTTACCTTGTATAATGATGATGTTTAATTTTTTGGTCGATAAATTTATGGTAGTGAGTGATACTGTGTAAGAAATAAAGCTGTCTTATGTGATACATTTGGACATCTGCGTATAATTTGTTAGTGGGATAAAGTGTCGGTTTTTTAAACAGAATTTAACATATAATAATGTACGAAAATATTTGTACATGTTTATAGTTGGGATCGACCCATAAAGGTTTTTCGCCAATACCAATATGTCTGTATTATCGGCCGTGTGTTTTTTCTGTACATTATCTTTTATGTTTAACTTCGGTAACGTTTGGTGAGCACGTTGATTATGGTTTGTGGAAACCTTATATACATATGGGGTCTGTAAATTAACAGATTTTTTTTTATTCAAATATAATTACAATTTTATATTTTCATAATTAAAATAATTTTTTTCTGGAGCGACACAGTACTAGATACGGTTATTCCACTCCTCATAGCAGTGCTGGAACTCCAATACTGGAATAGCCTTCAGCTAGCTGGCTACAGCTATTTGAATGTTTTCAACTGCCCCGTAATAAGTCCCCTTGAGATGATTTTTCAACTTTGGGAAGAGAAAAAGGTAACAAGGACTCGATTTAGGCAAATAAGGAGGCCGAGGAGCCACATGAATGTTTTTTCTGGCCAAAAACTCGTTTATTGACATTGCCGTGTGACAAGGACCATTATTGTGATGCAACACCCTGTTGTTCTTGATCTCATGAACGGTCGTGTTAGTCAAAATCTCGAATCGATATCGTCATCGGTTCTTGAAGGCCTTCTGCTTCGTGGTTCAACTTCAATCGACTTTTTCCCTTCTCTTTAAACCACTGAAAAACTTGGGCTTTGTACGAAACTCCTCCATAGGCCTGCTGAAGTTTAGTAAGAGTTTTCGTTGCACTATGCGTAAGTCTGAAGCAAAACTAGCAGACTGTTGCTCGTTGATGTCATTCATTTTCAGAATACAATGGAAGAAACTTTTTAATAAAAAAACTCGCTATGGACACCCAAATGACTGGAGCGAGTTGAAACTTGTACTGAAGGCTGATCATATATTTCCCTCCAGGCTCCACGCCTCCAGTGTTGCCAGATCGACCGCTACGTTGCCAGTCTCATCAGTTAATTTACAGACCTCGTACAATTTATGTTGCCACGATTCAGTAAGAAGTTAGCTTATAGGAACTTTTTTTGTTATTGGATGTACTTTTTGTTCTAAATACAATGAAATTTTTTTCTGGTGTTTGCTCAATTTTTTGATTTCGTTTCTCCTGCAGATACGTGGACAAATTGAACAAAGCCGAGAGATTGCGAAAGAAAAAAGAAGAAATGTGTCGAATCCGTCAGTTAGTAGATTTGGCTTACAATAATGACCCACGGATTGCCAAGTTCAAGCAGGATGATAAAGAGAAAAAATTAGCTGCCAAAAGGGCTAAACAGAATGCTGTACAAGCTAAGAGAGAAGAGGAAGAGCGACTATTGAGAGAGTTACAACTTGCTAAGGAGAAGGCTGAGGCTAGCGAACGTGCGAGCATCGAAGCCAAGAGACAGGAACGTAAGTAGTCTTTTTATGTTGTTTGAAGTTTTTAGACAAGGTGAATGATTCAAAAGATTTATTTCAGACTTCCATTGTTTAAATATACTAAGTGACATATAAATCCGAACACCCAGTTTAAATGGTTTTATTTTAATAAAATTTTTTATAAGTACTTAATGAAGCATAATAAGTAAATGATAAAAATTTCAAAATGATTGCACTGCTTTAAAGCCCTTTGACCTTTAATAATGTGTGGATGCACCCTGATGTGCTACACATTCTCCAACGCGCCTAGGCATGCTTCTGATCAGGTGGTCAATGTCCTCCTGTGGTACCTCATTCCAGGCAACCACCAACTCCTCTCGAAGTGCTTCTAGAGTCTGAGGAGGACGTTGCAAATTGAGCAATCTTCTACCCATCATATCCCACACGTGCTCAATTGGGGATAAGTCGGGAGATCTTGGTGGCCATGGTAACAATGTGACATCATTATGTTGAAAGAAGTCTATTGTGACTCTTGCAACATGTGGTCGGGCATTATCTTGTTGGAAAGTTGGATCTGCCAGGGTGTCAAGATAGGGTAAAAGATGGGGTTCTAGAACTTCGTGGATATAAGGCTGCGCGTTCATGTTACCTCTGATGAAGATTAAAGGTGACCTGGAACCATAAGCTATAGCACCCCAAACCATAAATCCAACAGTGTGATGAACATGTCTTTCAACAAAAAACAACTGTGGATTCCTCCTTTCACCACGTCGCCTCCTAACCCTGGCACGACCATCGTGCATGCCTAAACAAAATCGAGACTCGTCACTAAAGACAATACTGTTCCATTCCTGATCCCAGAGTAACCGTTGTCTGCACCACTCAAGGCGATTACGTCGGTGTTCTCGAGTTAAAGGGAGAACCCAGTGTGGCCGGTATGAAAACAAGCCAAAACTTCTCATTCGTCGGTAAACACTTCGCATGCCAATAGGTCTTCCGTGTTCTGTAAACCATTCATTTGCAGTGGACCTGGTAGTGGAGAAACGGTCCCTTAAGGCCAATAATCTTAGGCGGCGATCTTCACGGTCTGTTGTTCTACGGCGGCGTCCAGTGACCCTTGCTCTTTGCGTACGGCCTTCTCGAAGCCATGCATGACAACACCTAACCACAGTGTCTACACTTCTTTGCACTCTAACTGCAATTGCCCGAAAAGAAAGTCCAGCTTCCCGAAGTCCCACTATACGGCCCCTATCAAAGTCACTAAGTTGACGAAATCGTACAGGTCTCCGTACTCTAGGCATCGTAACCGATCGTAAAGGATGTCAAGAACCAAAATCTGCCAACGTTGATTCTTTACTGCGGCTAAAATATTCATTTTTAGAGCGTTAGTGAATTAAAAAAAAAAGCAGTATAAAAACCGGAATGTCCAACTGATAAGGCTGAAAATTTTCTCACTTGTTATTTACAGTAAGATAAATACATTCACCAACTTTTATTAAAATAAAACCATTTAAACTGGGTGTTCGAATTTACATGTCACTTAGTATATGTTTGAGTTACACGACGTTTCGATTAAGAGGTATCTTCAATCACATGCAGGTGAACCGAGGCATATTCCTTTCTAGCTTCTTATGGTCTCAGTTTCAGACGTGTCCCTCCACGTGGTGTATCGACGTTGTGGCTGGGCGATTGTGTATGCCATTGAGTTGTCTGGAATGTCTTCTCGGTGATCTATGTTTATCGAGCTCAGATGTATTTTCATGAGTTTCCTTATTAATAGCTGCCATATTGATTTCATTGCTGAACTCTGTTTGCTGTAGACTTTATCACTGCTGATTATGAAGACTGCCGCCTTGAATTCTCTGCGGTACTAATGTCCTTGTCAGTCACCTTGGCGTTTCCCCAGATTGTGGTGTGATGTTTGGTTCCTGATAACCCTGTATTAAGCTTGTGTTCTTTGATTCAAACGCCCAGTGGTATTTGTGTATCACGGATGTATACTTTGCAACATTCAAAAGGTACTTGGTATACGCAGTTTTTGGTTTCTTGATTTATATTCTTAGGCTTGGTTTTTGTCAAGATGCTACTTCAGAATCTTGTTTGTATCCCATAGTGTCGTCCCATTCTGTCATTTGTGTCATATACGCCTTCAACGTAAGAAATTATGAATAAACTTCGCGATTCTTCCTGGTCTATTCTTCTGTTGATGGTACCTTCGAATATTACTTTCCCCCACCAGATTCTTTAATATCCGCTCACCTTAATGGGTGGGCCATTAAGTTGAGCGCACATTACATTATCGCAAAAGATGCAGCAATCAAGCAGGGGGTCAATTCTTGAAAACGAGATAGTAGAATAACCACTGGAACGTATTTTATTACCATTTCAGACAGCTTTTGACGTTTATCAGATAAGTTGGTGATGCATCCATTTTCGGTAAAATGTTTTAGGTTTTTCATATAATTTGTTGCATCAGAAAGAATTGCCTGGGGAGAGACTCTTCTATCATTGTTAAAGCATAATTTCTCGAAAAGTATCAGAACCACACATACTTCCTATTGAATGTTCTACTCCCTCATTTTCAAGAATTAATCTACGGATGTAAATTAACTTGATACTTACCGTTTCAGGTGAGGCCCAAAGGAAAGCATTGAAGAAAGAAAGAAAAACGCTTCGGGACACGTGCAAAGCAAATAATTACTACGTGGACAATAGCGAGCAAAATTTAGCTAACATGACGGCATTGGAAGCGTTATGTGAGAGACTTTCCCTGAATGAAATGGAGGAACTCAATAAAAACATCAAAAACGAAGGTAAATCTGCCTTCCTCAAAGCTATTAAAGAAAATCAACTGCGCCAAGAGCGCGAAAGGCAAGCTGTTCTAGAGCAAGCCAAGCAAAAAAACAATGCAGAGAAAAACTCGGGAGTTGTCCTCATAGCGCCTGAATGGAATGAGGAAAATATTCAGCTGTTAGTGAAAGCCGTAAACTTATTCCCTGCTGGTACAAACCAGAGATGGGAAGTCGTAGCGAATTTCATAAACCAACATGGCACTTTCAGTGAAAATACTAGTAAATTCAATTCAAAGTTGGTTTTAGCAAAAGCAAAGGATTTACAAAACGCCGATTTTTCGAAGAATAATTTAAAAGAAGTTGCTGCCAAGCAGGCATTGGAAAGCTTTAAAAAGGACAAGAGAAATGTTTTGAATGTTGATGAAAGCGGCATATCTAAAAAGTTGGATTCTGAAGGGACAAATAATGTCAAAAAGTCAGTTTCTAACAGTGAGATTACACCGAAAAATGAAGTTCCTTGGACTACAGACGAGCAACAATTATTGGAGCAAGCTTTAAAGACGTACCCGGCCTCAACTGCAGAGCGTTGGGATAGAATAGCAGAATGCATTCCCAATAGGACGAAAAAGGAATGTATGAGAAGGTATAAAGAGTTAGTCGAGACTATCAAAGCGAAAAAGGCCGCCCAGGCGGCTGTTCAGCAGACTAAGTGATTTTCAGTGTGCCAGAATTTTGTGGTTTCTGTCCCAGTTTTCTCCATGTAATTTCTCTACTGTCAAATAAATCTTTCCCCTGACATCTTGTTTTATTTTCATTATGAATATACTTGAAACCAAAACATTATTTCAACATCATACTAAATACAAGAGCTACCACATGTGAATTACTGAAGTATAGCAGTTTATATTTTGGGGAGACATTAATTAAGTACTTTTTTTTCATTAAAACGTTTTATGTAATATTTGTTCAAAATATTTTGCTCCCAGAAAGCATATTCCGTGTTCCTACTTTTTTCTATGAACGAAAAGTAAGAAGTGGCAAAACTTGCCCTCCAAACTGGTAAAACCATACCAAAACTTCTTTTGTTATGGAGGTTAGGCTTATGTCAGATATGAGGAAACCAATTATTATTCTCTGAAATTTATAGTACGACGTGAAATCTTATGGTTCTCTCTAATATACGGAGTCGAATGCTTTTTTAGCGTAAGAGTTAAAAAAACGAGAGTAAACTGCACCATCATTGGAAAAGTAGATGTAAATCTATTCAGCTCTTAAACAAGGCGCAGTTTTTATAGGTGGAAAATACCCCATTTAACTATGACTACAAAGGAGAATGCAAAAAAATTGAAAAAATGCTATACTTTGTAGAAACAAATTACTAGTAATGTTCTTATGTACTTAATATGCTTTCTATTAAACTCTATCGAGACGTTACGAATTCTATTTCCTAAGGACCTCATAGAAGCAGCAAAAGCTCAATACTAAGGTACTGTGAGTGCTGGATTGCGGTTAAATATGCCTTGGTGATCTGAGTTTTGAATTGCTTATGGCAAGTAGAACTGTGGGGCGCCTTTTGTGTGACAGCTCGCTCCACCTTACCAGCCAGTTTCCAATATATGGAACTTGATCGAGCTCGAAGAAGTCCGACAGATTCACCTAGAAGGTCTAGAATGCTGCGTCATCAAGAGAGCTAAAAGGAGCGAACGTTCGTTAGCATTAAGATAGACCACCGGCCGCTTCTCTTCGCGAAAGCAGCATGAGACTATGCATTTCTCTGAAACGTAATTTGATCATCTAACAATAATGTGCCTGCCAGACAGACCCGCCTGACTTCGGCCTCCCATCCTAACCGTGTCGAACTTTGTACTTACAGAACTGACCAATACGATTGATCCTTTGTTCCTAAGGAGGAGGCTTTTCTCAGTTCTACTAACCCTAGGCAGATCATAAATCGGATTATCAAAGTTTCTTTGCCATTTAGGCTTCTGCCTGCGCGGCTTCTTCGGTTTTGAAAAAATCATGATTTCTGCGAAAAGTTTTGAACACAGATTTCTGACAAGGAAGTTTGAAAATCCCATTTTAATACAGAGTGTTTGGTACTTGTATCAACTAAATTTTTTCGGTGTTTTTTATGATTTTTAGTGAAAACTGTAATGATGCCCGAGATATAATTTTGTTTCAGTTTTATACTAAATTGCGCATATATGTTGGTATGACTTTTTTGTTTGTCGATATAAAACAAAATAGAAATCAAAGCAAATAAACAGTTCGTACAAACCCTCTGAAAAAGTAGTTAAATTATACAGAGTATATAAAAAATCTGGAAATCGGATAAAAAAGAACTATACCTTTTTTGGAACTTGGTTTTATGTATAAAAGATCTGAGGTTTATTATCCTTCCAACAATATGCTACACATACACTAATCATTTGTTATGCAGTCAAAATAAGAGAAAGCAGTTGGTTGGGTCAATGATTTACTTAGGTTTTAACGTTTTTATTTAAATGTGTTTCTTTGTTGAAGATTTATTTAGCATCAATGCTACAACATCAATTTTGTATAATTATTCATTTAAACATTTTTTTTAATCTATTTTCTGTAATTTTACATTCTTGTCTATTAAAATTACATCACTATGAATTTGAGTTCATAAAGTGATTTTTTAATTTCACCTTAAAAAACATTTTTAAATTCGAACACTTTAATATCATTAAACAATTTATTAAATTCAAATACTCCCTTTTGAAATACAGATTTGCTAGTTCTGCTACTATTACAATTTTGCAGATGAAAATCTATAAGTATTGCCTCTAGTTTAGTAGTTATGACAATGATTTAATTTTGCGAAGTTTTGTAAATTGTGGTGGTAATGAATGATTTTTTAATTTGAATATGAAAATGAGAACTAAATAACATGAAATTTTTCACATTCAACCACTGTAGTTCTTCTAACATAGACTTAATCCTAGCATATTCGTTTTTATTTAAAATTATTCCCATAGCTTTATTTTGTAGAATTTGTAATTTTGAAAATATGTTTTCATTTGCTGTAAACAAGATGGTTGAACAATATACAAAATGGGGGAGAATTATAGTGTTATACAAAATTCTTTTGGAATAAATACTAAGATTATGGGAAACACTATAGAAGTAAATATCTTTTTTGATATTTTTCAAATAATGTATTCATAATGCCCATGAAACAGTAGTTGACTGCCCACATATATACTAAGATATTTAAATGATTTGACTACTTATTTTTTCCGTCATTAATCATTCATTAGCCTAATTGTATGTAATAATTTGTACGAACTATTTATTTGCTTTGATGAAGCATGCAATTTCAGGGAATTCAGCATAAAATCGAAAAAAATATATATTTTGTAACCATAGCCCTTCCAGCATTACCGTTTTTACCAATTACACAAACAATGTCAGTTCATGTGCCGAACACCCTATATAACACTTGGGAAAATATAGCATTTTTGGTAAGGTAGCACCATGTGAGCAGATAAGCTGTGATTTCAATGATAAGTAAAGGTGGCTACAAACACAACTGCAAGCTTGTCCAGCATGCTTATTCAATATTTTTGTACAAGTATGCACAATTTGTCTTTGGCACCACATGTAAAAGCTTGCTTGATAAAAATATACATATGTAGTTTAATAAAATATATTGATCTCGGACGACGATGCGCTCGCTTTGGCCGGTTTTGATCTTGTTAAAAAAAAGATAGTACCGATTAAAAAAGCGTGCGGTGTGGTGTAAAGAATGGTTGATGAAAAGTAAAACCTATTCTCACATTAACTTACTAAGTGAGCTGAAAATATATCCGCGTGACTGGCACAATTATCTTTGAACGGATAAAGAGACGTATTCAAACCTTTTATCTCTTGTATCACCTTTGATTCAAATGCAGGATACGATCATCAACGGATGCCAACTTGTCCAAGCTTGAAAATCTTGGGTACACACGTACCGGTTTGCTTGCTTTTCACCCATTTTTGTGTTAATTGCAGTAGTCCGATGTTACTACATTTTTTACAGTACAATAAAACTACATGTTAGAATGTATGTATGTTTTAGAGAATTTTTATAATAATTATTACAATTGCATCACATACATTAGCTTAATGTTACCAAATTGATAGAACATAACATCCAGTTTAATATAGATATTCACTTTTGTTGATTAAGAGGATTTTCGGGTGACTTTTGCCACTCCTTGAAAATCATCTGTTTCAACTGTGATAAGCGCAGTGATGGATTCTCCACTTTGAGCTCTTTCAGTCGGCGCTCCTCATATGCTGTATATAAAGCTTTCATCCTCTTCTCAGGATGCTTATCCAATGTCTCATCTGCTCCTCCAAGAATGGAGATTGCTTCATCTATTGTTCTTGCTTCTCCCTCAGTGTGAACTCTGTTCAAATTTTCTTCCAGAGGTACATCAAGATGAGTTTCAATTTTCTTCTCAGGTTGCTTTTCAGGCTTCGTAGTACTCGCTACCTTGTCGCTGATCTGTTGTCTAGTAAGCTTTGATGGAGGTGCCACTTTACCAGCTGGTTTCTTCGATATCTCGCCCATTTCCTTCTCGAGCAAAGCTTTTGCGTCATTTTTACGCTGTAATGCTTCCAATCTCTTCTTTTCCTCCTGTTCTTTCTTCTGTTGCTTCTTTTTTATTTGTTTATCGTCGTCTTGCCAGTAGGCATCCTCGATATCTTTTTGTTTCTGCTTATCGGCTTCATCTTTTGCCTGCTTTTTGCGTTCTCTGGCTGCTACGGCTTTTGTATTTTCGGAAGCAAATTTTTTCGGCATGATTCAAAATCTCGCAGCTTTTTTGGCGATATTCGAAAAATTTAGTAATTCATTTTTGGGTTATGGCATGGATCTTGAATCTTGATACACAGAAGACAGAACATGTGAACCTAACAGATGGTCGCTCCGCATTTGATTGTTCCATGTCAAAAATATATATCGACATTTGGTGGTTATGGGCGTTTGCAAATTGTCAACATCCTGCCAAAAAAAGTGTAAAATGTAAAGCAAATTTCAACATATATTTGCAAAATGGAAACAACGAAAGTAAATATGAAAGCTTTAGAAGCGACAGCTAAATCTACGGCTACTTCCAAGATCATAAATACTTTTAACAGACCAGGACAGTTGGAGAAAATCGATCAAATAAAGCTGAGATATATGCGGAAAAAAGCTTCCGTGGAAGCTTTGCTGAAATCGGCTATGCAGCAACAACTGGATGGTGTGCGAATTGGTTTAAACGAACTACACTCATCCCTTGAAGATGTCAAGGAGATTGAAAACAGCCTACGTAAGATGTATACTCTCTTTGGCAATATTCCAAAGCTCTGCAATTCTTTGAATGAAGTCAGAGAGGAAAACATGAAGCACTCGCAATATGTCACTGCAAAGGAAAACTTGAAGCATATCTTTACTGTTCCTGAAAGTGTAGAAAAAACAAAACAGTGGATCAATGATGGCAAACTATTACATGCTCATCAATGTTTGAGGGACCTAGAGAACTCAAGAGATGATCTACTGTATGAGCTTCATAAGTTGCCCAACCAGTCTGTACATGATAAGTCTATGCTGAAAGCATATTTTGCTGATGTTGAAACATTATCAAACCTTCTGGAGAAACAGCTGACTTTTATTTTATCAAGGACTTTAAATACTGTGAGGAAAGATCCAACTGTTATTGTAACTGCATTGAGGATAATAGAGAGGGAAGAAAAATCTGATGAAGATGCCCTGAAACAACAAAAGCAAACTGGTTTTTTGCCTCCAGGTAGACCTAAGAAGTGGAAAGAAATGATGTTCAAAATCTTAGAGAGATCAATTTCCTCTAAAATTGAAGGCACACAAGTAGAAGAAAGGGAAGACAACAAACACTGGTTGATTAGATATTTGGAGTTAATAAGAATTACATTATTGGAGGATTTGAGAGTGGTGAAAACTCTATGCATGCCTTGTTTTCCACCAAAATATAACATTTTAGAAAGATATGTTCAGATTTATCACAATTGTTTATCATTACATTTGCAAGAGATCATTCAGAATGGTTTACAAGGAAATGAGTATGTAACAATGTTATCATGGATAATGAATACATATCCTGAATTAATAGAGAACTCTGCTAAACTTCCTCCACTATTACCTCAAGCAGTTATAGACTCACTTGAGAGTGAATATCTGAAGAATGTAGAAAATAACTACATAGAATGGATGCAGAATACACTAAAATCAGAAAAAGAGGAATGGAAATCAAGCCAAGAACCACAGTTTGATAGCTATGCTCGTACTGGTGCACCCATCATAATTTTCCAGATGATTGATCAGAACCTGCAAGTTGCAAAGACTATGAGTGAAGATCTTACTATAAAATGTCTCAATCTGAGCATACAACAGGTTATTAGCTATGCAGAACCTTTCCAAGAAGCCATTGTTGAGTTTAAAAACAGATACTTTGAAGATAGAAAACAGGTGTTATTTTTTACACAATACATGATAATGATCGTTAACAATTGTTTACAATTTGTAGAGCTTGGCAGTGAACTAGAGAAACAGTACCTTACACCTTCAAATACCCATGATCTTAATGTCACTTTTGGAAAGTTGAGAGCAACCTACATCCAGCTCAGAAATAATGCAGTTAACTACTTATTAGAAGAACTTTTGGTTGACTTGGATCATCACTTTGATAAGTTATTTACTCTCCAATGGGCTACATCCAATGTTCCAGCCGACACAATCTATGCAACTATTGAAGACTATTTCCAAGACTACAGTCACCTTATGGAGATGAACTACAAGTATGTTGTTGAACAAGCTAAAAGTATGGTTGGAAAAAGATACTTAACAGCAATGCTTTCTAAAAAGACTTCCTTCAAAACTTACGAAGAATGTACTAAGGCTGCAGGTAAAGCAGTCAGAGAAGCAGAGAGATTGAGGCAGCTGTTTGAGAACCTTAGCAAAGAACTGGAAGGTGAAGATCATTTTGAAGCTATTATTATGCTAGCAGAGTTGCTAAAAAGTGATGATGATATGCTGTCCTTTGAGTTGCATAGGGTAGTTGAGAAGTATCCTGATATTTCAGAAGATCACTTGATGAGATTGTTGAACTTTAGAGGAGACTTGGCAAAGTCCAGTGTTAGGGAAAAAGTGTCCCATATTGATAAGTCTAGGGGAAGTCACAGGAGTACAATATTTAAAACTTTAGTATTTCCAAAACTTGTTAATATCAATTTGAATTTTTAAAATATAGTCTGACAATTATGGAAGTGCTTACAGGACAGTATAACATACTACTCATTAATCTTTTCGATTCGATTAATCTTTGTATATAAACTACGTTATCAAATGAGCTATATATTATCCCTATTTAGGTATAGCTAGAAGGTCTGTTTATATGCAATTTTATTTAAAATATGCTGTATATTTCCAGTGATCTGAGTATATTTTTTGTATTATTTGTTCTTGTTAGTAAATTAAATCTGAACAAAATTAAAGAGAACTTGTTAGCAAAACTATTTCACTTACATATAGGAAACATTGAGATAGTCATGGATTACTTTATTATTTTGGTGAGGTAATATATTAGACAGATTTGTATTTTTCCAATATATACTTTTGAAAAGGATGTTTCTTTGTATTCTTGTACTCAAGGTGGATTTGGAAATAAAATAAGTTATTCAGTATGTTATTTAGTTCCGATTTTCCTATTCAAATTATAAAATCATTCACAAAACCTAAACAGTTATTCTCATAATAATTATGAAACTAGAGGCAGTATATATTTTCATCTGAAAAATTGTAATAGCATAACTAGCATATATGTATTTCAACAGGGAGTATTTGAATTTAGTAAATTGAAAGATGATATTGAACAGTGTTCGAATTTGAAAATGTTCAAGGTGGAATTAAAGAACTCTATGAATACCCAAAATGCATAGTAATGTAATTTTAATAAACAAGAATGTGAGATTACAGAAAATTGATTCATAAATGTGTAAAAGAATAATTAAACAAAATTGACATTGTAGCGTTAGTGCTAAATAAATCTTAAACAAACAAATGAAAGCATAAAGGAACAATGAATCGGTAAATCAAAGTAGGTTAGAGGTATTCAGGCTACCTTCTATACATTCTTCTAGTATCTCAAAGTCTCGTAGCGACAAAAATGCAATTGCCTTGAGTGCCTTTCAACCATTCGTATCGTGGTCAACAACAGTTCCACCAGTTTACATTGTTTATACCTAAAGATTTGCAAACATCTCCACTCTTGGTACTATATTGGGCTTGCGTCTCTTTACCTATTATAGCGTATCATGCTAGGATTGTATCCTGTTAAAAAAGAAATGTTTTTTCTGTGACCGGAAAGAAGTTTTTCATTTTACCTCTGTTGACAGGTAACAAAATGTCACTTTTTATGAAATTACTTTTTTCCCCGGAAAAAAATGAGTACTTTTTTCCCACATATTGAATACGCGGTTTCGTAAATTTTCCGCGATTTAGCTGGCAATAATTTTTGTAACGCTACTAATTCCGGTGGAGTCAAAGAAAACTTGAAATCACACATTTTTTACTTTATAGTATTAAAAATAACATCTCAACAACCACTAAGTTCAAAATTTTTAAATTAAATTGACAGCTATTTGATTACTTTAAAAGTTTCCTTAGCAACGCAGGTTTAATTGTCGCTATAAGTACAACATAGCCTACTAATTTCAAAATTAAAATTTCACATCGATAATTTTCCGACTTAAATATTGTAATAATATAATTTTTCAATATTAAGTCGTCGTTTTTCCCGTCACAGAAAAAAATGGGTATTAGACACGGGTTTGTCTCCGCGCAGGCTCAACCTCAAGCTAAAATCTAGTACTTTTTTCCCTTGTGTAATAAATAACTATTTCTATTTTTAAACTTCAACACTCCGTATCTTTTTAATGAAGCCCTCGAGGATAAAATGTTACATTGAAGACCCTCCTTGATATGCGGTCCTGTGCACGATGTTTCATTTTTGGTCACGACTTGGGAATCACGCTGTATATGTACGTAACAATTAAAATATATCACAATGTAGTGTGTGTCTGTGTTTTTTTTTAATAATCTTATTAGGTTTATAATTTATATCGGTCAGCGTATAGCGGCAAAATAGACCAAAATATCGATATGCATATATTGTATGTTATTCTTCTTTCGATTAGAAAAGGGATTATTGATCAGATTTTGGATCGAAATTAACAAGAAGAATATTATATTAACTGTATCGTTACCCTTTATTGAGTCTGACGAGTGGATCTTTCACCACGAAGCACCGCAGTATTAATGGCCCACTGGTCAATAAGACCGTGTGAGTGAGATTTCAATACACTTTCTCTACGTACATATAAAAGTCGGCTATGTTGAATATCTACGTCTCACTGATCTGAAATGTTTGACCCGCTGACTAAGTTATGAAGACAGATCAGTCGATTTCTCAACTGGGTGCGTTAAAAGTTATTTATTCATCTACAGCGTTAAGTAAAAGCTTATGTCTCGCTGGAATTAGAGCTCAATGAGCGACACGTCACGGGCTCAAACGCGTCAGTGGTCATAAACGCTTTTTACGCCCGAGACATTTACAAAGTCTACTACGGCTACGACCAGTCATAGGGTAAAAATATGGGTTTTCTTTAAGTGAACATAAATAACTTGGCCATACTATAATACCAGGTGAACCCGTTGTTTAGCAACACATAGATTAGCATATTTCAATAATCAGTGGGTGTAGGTCAATTTAAAGATAGAGGCGGTAAATTTACTTGATCGGTGAAGTTACTTTACCGCCCTAGACCATATAGAAGTCAGGAAAAATTCTTCTGGTCGTAGATAAAGAGATAAAATATTATGCGTATTACTGGCACACATGAGGAGGTTAGTATTAATTTCATCATTGCATTTGCAGATGGCATTTTCTTCTCTATATGAAGAAAAATGCCCTTTCACAAGAGACTACAATTTGATAAAGGGCGAGTTGAAGAATATTGACGATTATGACAAAACCTGCATAGAAACAGCCTTGCATGGCGTGAATCAGATGGTACTGAGCGAATGGGGTAATAATACTGCTTGTCAGGTGAGAAGGATGTTCAGTCAAGTTATAGCATATTGAATGTTATTGTACTGCATCTCAACATAAAATGATCGCGTTTGTAGTATATTTTTTATCATTTACTTGGGTTTATTGAATACTATTGAGCGCGTTCAGCCAACGTAAAGCACTCCAGCGATGCAGCACTTTTATGCTGAATAGCTAGACAGCTTTGTCAGTTTGACAGCAGTTCTCATTTGACTGACAGATTTGATAGTCTGTTGGATAAATGTTGCGAACTTTCAAAGCTATTCCACTGCTACTGCTATTCAGCATAAAAACTCTGAATCACTGGACCACTTTACAGGTACGTTGGCTGAACGCGCTTATTGAATCTGTAATGGTTTCATATAGTGAAAAATATTTGTTGTACTTGATGGGAACATGTTAAACGTAATATTTTGGATAGAACAAAATAATGTTCCATTTGAAATTCATTCATGTTAAAGAGAACACAAAAAGGCTTAAGACTAATCAATAGTTGGAAAATATACCGGGCGTTTCAAATTTGAATCTCATGATTGTCATATCGGAAACGATAAGAGATAGCAAGTTGATTAAATAGGGGCGAAGATGCACATTTAGATACTTGGAATGGCACTCAGAAAGCTTGAGACTATGTTTGCCATTCTCTTACTCAACAAAATGCACAATTTTCCCCATATAACCAACTTCCTAGCTCTTACCGTTTCCTAGATTCTAGTCAATGGCGGATTTAGAGGGGGCGCGCGCTCCTTCCTAGACGTCTGACACTTGCTTTTGTAATCTAACACCATTGTGTTACTTTCTGACACATCATGGTGAAAGAGGCATGCTAACTATAAGTTATTACTGAGCATTGCGATTTTCTGGTATCCTTTTGGTGATCGTATATTCGAGTATTGTGACTTGTGACAAATCTGAGTAATACAATATTAGCTATATAGATTACACTTAGAAAGTGATTTATGTTCTGTTTGTTGCTCAGTAGTAATTTGAAAAGTATGTAAAGCTTGGCTGATTTTGTTCGGGGTTGGTGTTGCAGCGAAGCACTATTCTAGACGAACGCCTAAATTGGAAATAGACATTTGTGAGATTTGCTTAGCGGTGCGCCTGTGACCTGTCCAGAAAATGCGTCGATCGATGCTCAAAGTCAATACCACACGTCCCGCATCTCTTCCCGCGTATGTGTTTATTTATGTTGCTACATTCAATTCGCTTAAATCACAGAGCTTCTGTACTATACGTGAATATATATATATCAAAATAATTACGATCTAACAGATATAGTTTTTTCCAAAGATTTACAACATTTTTACATGCGATTCGAAAACTGAGAAAACAACAGTTCCGTAAATCTAAGTTCGACATCGAAAGTCTGAAGAACAACTGTAACGTCTATATTGAATTTCAAAAAATAATTGACTATACCTATTGATATTTTTATCGACTGCTTTTACTTGATTTGTTTAATGAGCAGTTCAGAGTCTTAATCCTTAAGCTTAGTACACACTAGTATACCCCGTTGCGCAATTTGTCTATAGGCAGTCTGGAGACGGTCTCAAGTCACTATCTATAGTTGGTGTATAGACATCCTTCTTTGTCTCGTCTAGCGTCCATACGATAATGTGATTTTTTCGGTCTCATGCTCGTTTTCGCCATGAAAGACATTGTTTTGTGTGAAATATGTCTCGGGGTCCTCTGAATGTTTTTTTTCGATTAACAGAGCAAACAAGTTTTTAAAGTTCTAATCTTTAATATTATTACACTAGTTAATTATAAATACCACGTACTTATTTTGATCTCATATAATAAAATATTGCGTTTCTGAGGATTTCTGAGCATTTTCCATCTTTTTTTTTTTCAAGCTAGTATTGACGAAATAGAACACAATGGATTTGAGGAGCAATAATAGGATAAATTCTAGAAGTTCCACTGAGGTTGAAAAATTATCAGCCCCAAATATCGTTTGCGCCCCCTCTAGACGAAATCGTAAATCCGCCCTTGGTGGGAGCTGAATTTGACACAGTCTGTATAGTATATTCAGATGATTGGAAACATGGAAGGGCTTATCAGAGTTATTTAATTATATCAATTCTCTTTCCTCGTTTTCAGATTATCTTAGTCACAGATGGTAGTACGGGTGTAGGGCCAATGTCACTTAAAGAATCCCTTGCAACTGCAAATCAGAGGTCAGCTAAAATTCCATTTCCTGTACCATTTTCGTTTCCAGCAAAGCTGCACATCATATGCCTTACAACAGCTTCAGATCCTTGTTTCATAAAATGTGAGTCATACATCCGCTCACCTGGTTAAAGCTTATACAGTGCTTTTCAAAAATGTCTCCTTACTCATTTTTTTAACGAGTCAAGTTAGCAAGCTGAACTTTGGGGTGATAAAATTAATGCGCAAATGGTCTATTTTAACATATAAGTGGCAGATGAACATATCAAGATGTCGACTAGGCACATCTTGGAACATTTATTTAAATGGGCTGGGGGTAGTACCTAATTCGAAATCTCCGTATGAATAATTTATAACATTTTAATGTTTTATATAAAAGTCGTCTATCGTTATTCTAATATAAAGTTATATATTGAGTCGCTTATAATTCAGCATAATACAATGTGGAACATTACATTTTGAAAAAACGTAAAACTTGTCAATTTTTTTAATGGAATGTCATATTTTATTGCATAATCTTCTAAAACTAAACTACCTACCATTGATGTCACTTACTATAGCGTTATCAGGATTGGTTGTTGATATCTATTTGCTAGGAGATTCAAAAACGCTCAACTTTGAGAGTGATTTTATATTTTAGGGTTGTAAAGTACTTATGAAGAACTCTAAAATGCAGTATCTTATGAACTCCCATTTCACTGAAAAACTGACATTTTTACGCTAAAATATCGTATTTATGCATCAGCTACATCACCCTAAATTTCGGTTTGCTAATTTGACTTGTTCTGAAAAGCACGTATAGGAGCAGGTTTAGACTAACGAATTCGAATAGATTAGAAGCCAAGCCTATATGTATAAATTGTGTTGTTTATCACCAAAATTGCGTACTTTTGAATCATTTGTCTACCAATGTATACCAAAGTGACAGCGTTGTATCAACATAATAATAATACTTACCGGTTGAAACATCTACCTTCATTACTCGCACTTTTAGAAAATAACACTAAAAAGAAATCAATGACAGAACTGTCAAAAATTGACTTATATCAAGTGCACTTTAATCCTCACTACAGACTCTGAGAATTAAAAGACAAACAAATCATTGACTGGCTCCTTCTACCTAGTTTGAATTCGTTGGTTTGTCCCAGTACTCAAACATGAACATCAGTTAATTATATTGGGAGAACAAATATGTTCTGCATGTGTTGTAAGAAAAGGCCAGGGAACAAGCAATACGACAGTTGAACATCTATGTTTACTTCTCTAAAATTGTAAGGGCCGACGATTTTTTTTCTGTATCAGACTTTCACGGGGTATTTCGTTCTCAAAGAGACGCAGTCGAAGTTATCAAAGCCTATGGACTTCTTCTGAGATGTTGCCGGTCTCTATGCGAATGAGCCTACTATATTATCGTTAGCACAAAAGGGAAAACAATCATTTCTGTAGATTCTAGATGTTTTGACATGATGAAATTCGTCCATGATACGACACAGCACAGCACAATGTTCCTTTGTGAAACTCCGCAAATATCTGTCTGGGCTGGGGACCAGGGGCTTCTGTAACGATCCCGAGCCTGGGTTGGGTATAAGCGGGCGCCAGCCAACACTGCACTAAATGATTAAGCGTATCGGGACCAGCGGATGTCGAAAGAGAGATTACTGCAGGAGGCCAAGAGGTTCAATAACGGGACAAAAGTTGGATTCTCTGGCTACTAGACAGATGTTGAGGATCGCTCAATCTCTTGGTGGGGTTTGTCATCAGTCACTTTAGAATTTGCCCTTCTAAGAGTGAAAAAAGATTCTATCTGCCCCATGAGCTGAGAAGAGCGTTCCTGTTTCTAGGCTTTTGCCGTGTATATTGCAACCTGAGAGCTGAGATATTCGGAACCATCGAGTTTCATAAATGAATGAATTATGAAATTAGAGACAAACCGGCCACCGTAAGGCGCATGTCCCACTTAAGCGGGCCCTTATGTACCCCTTCATTCCCTAAACTTCAACCTCCGCCCTTCTAGCAAAGTTGAGTATAGAATTGAATCCAGCTCCTTAACGTTCTGGGGATTAAAAGTGATGGACCCCCGTATAGTAGCAGCGACACAGAACATGCGCCGAGGTTTCTTCCTATACCCCGCAGCGCTCACTCAAAGGATCATCAGCTACCCCCATCACATGCAGGATGCGCCTCAACGTGTTATGGCCAGACAACAGTCCCACCAGCAATTTTAGGGTGGCTCTACCCAAAGATATGCAAAAGCGTCCATCCTTAGCACTGAGTCCTACGATGAGCTCCTTTGCCTGAAGGAGATGTCTAGAGATGTCTTGCCGTCCACTTCTCCATTTTCCGTCTGACTCTTTGCGTGGGCACCCCAGAGGCTGGCGCCATATTATTGCCCCTTATCACTCAGTGCCCCTGGTCCCACACTAACGATACCGGAAGCGTCGCTGCTAGACTATCCAGAGCCTCCATGCATTGCAATACGAGGCTCGAAGTTCTCTTGCAGACACTTAGTGCCTTTGTTAGCAACTCATGTTTGAAGAACTATCCATCTCCGTACGTGGATTTGTTTGCAGTGATGTTGGAGAATACTAATACTACTGAAACATTGATGCCCTGTTATTTATTTAGTTTTGATCAATACATTCTTTCAGCCAAGCCTCTTTATCAACGCTTGATAGATATGACGGGCTACGATGGTACAATATCGGTACAAGATACTTTCAGTAACGAGGCAAGTGTTACGAGTATGTTCCAAAAATTGGCTGAAGAAATATATTCTACTTTCAAAGGTACTTTGAAGTGTGGGAACTTGGAGTCGAAGATTATTTTGTCACCTGCTCCAGTGGTAAGTCTGTATACTCTGCATGATTAAAATTGCTCATTCTTAACCTACACAGTTTTTCATGATAATTTAGCTCATCAAAACGTGACAACACGTAACAGCTGATGGTTTATTGTCGTACAAAGTAATCCATTAATTATTACAGCCATATACAAAAGTAACAGATTTTGACAGTCAAACATACAATCTCTGGGACGTTTTGGATGTATGTGGGTTTGTATCGGTGGGAGATGTAGGTTCTCCAATGGCGATTAGCAGACATTTAATTCTACCTGCAACAAGTAGCTCCAATAAGACGGAACATGTTGTTAAGAACGAAGTTGACATCACCGATGATGATGTCATGGATGATAGCAAGACGCCGTCATTTTGCGTTTTACTACACGGAGCTTTGAGGTAACTGAGCTGAATACCTTTGAAATAAAAATGTCTGGTATCGCAGTGCCTTAACGTACCTTACTGTTTTGTCTGTATCTAAGTATATGCTCAATCGCAGAAAGTCTGTTGTGGTCAAGCTAAGGAATACTCTTGAGGTTTGGATTTCGCTGCGTTTCTTTTGGTCAAATCCAGAAGTAACTGATATACAGTAGTTTGTCCGTTGTCATATTTGTCACTGCATAATCTCTGCAATATCTATACTAATGAATGATTGTTTTTAGGGTTGAAAACATGGCTGCCTTAGTGACAGTGGGCGAAAATTGGTTCGGTTTTATTTATTCTTGGGCTGATTCCAAAAAAAAGTCTAATTTGATGTTGACCATACTATCTCCAGGTAGCGACGCTGTTCCTTGGCTCGGCGACTTAAATTATTTAGGCTCATCAGGTGAGTTATGAGAAAAACATTCGAACAAAAAAAACATACAGGTTTAGTCATTGTAATGAGTAATGCAAAAGGTCTTACTTTTGAGCAACAAAGAAATGCAAAAACGTCAGGCAAGCTTTACAGTGGATACCTTAGTATGTCTTTATCATTGGATATTTGCCATGTGTTCGCATACTGATATCACTTTTGGATTGTTCATCAATGCAGAGAATATCCATTTCTAAAAAGTCTCCGGCTGTATCGACTAATGTGACAAATGTTCCAATATTACCCAACGATTTTAATCCACCATTTTTGTTTTTGGAAATCTATCTTGTGTATTTTTGTATATGCAAACATTATTTCGTGATATATTGTGACCTCATTTTTCAGACAGTTTTTCGTCAGATCAAGTCGGCAGTTTTCCAGTGAGACCTACAGAGAAGCGAAGCTATTCTCAAAATGGCGTCGTATGGATTAGACAAGCTGGTTTACAGAGCGATATTCAAAAGATATTGAGGCATGCTAGAAAACTACCCGAGAAAACTCAGCAGTTTTACAAGGTATTCTAATCTTCTTTGAATGTCATACAACGAATTGTTTGGCAGTTACGGATACTAAAGACGTTTTTGGAAATACTAGTGACAGTGCTTTGTTCAAACGTTTATTTTAAATAACTCATGCATCAAGGCAATGCTCTTTATAAACCCATATGGTCCGATTCAATTTACAGTTTCTGTAATATTTACCTTTACGCTTCACTGAATAAACTTTAAGATATTTTAAGTAAAGTCGCTAAATTGAAACTATAAAAAGATACATACCCTGTATTCGAAATACAGGGTGGCCGATATGTAACTGACTGTTTTGTATCTTGAATATTTGTGATATGAAATAAAATACGACCATTTTTTTCATATAAATCTTTGATTGAAACTTAGAAATTATGTTTGAAAAATAATATCAGGCAAATGTCTGCCTCTCGAAGCCGCGCAAACCTGAGCCCTCTTGATTACATTTTCCATCACTTTTTGGTAGGTTTCGGGAGGAATATTTTCAATCGCGTCCCTAATATTGCTCGACAGTATTTGGTTTGTTGGGTAAACCCTATTTTTCAAATATCCCCATAAAAAAGGCAGGAGCCGTTAAATCCAGTGACCTTGGTGGCCAGTTGATATCACCAAATGGAGAAATTAAACTTCGGAAATATTGTTCCCAAAAGATTCATTGTTTTGTAGGTTAAATTGTTGGATTTGAGGAGCCAGAAAGTTTTGCACCATATCACGGTAGCTCTCGCCAATGACAGTAAGAGAATTACCTGCAGTGTCTTTAGAGGCCCAATGACACCTCCATACCAAATACCACACCAAACTGTGACTCGACGAGGATGTAGTGGTCGTTGATGGATGAAACGAGGATTTTCTAATGCCCAGACACGACAATTCTGCTTATTAACAAATCCGTTCATATCGAAGTGGACTTCATCGTTCATTAACAGTTGTCGATAAAAATCGTTATTTTGGGTATTAAGCCGCAATATTGTATGACTGTATGTGTCGGTGACATTAATGGTCACTAGGGTGTAGTTCTTGGGTTAACTGAATTTTGTGTGGCCGCAAATGCAAGTCTTTTCTTAAAATAGAGCACAATGACGTGCGACGAATGCCCAGTTCTTGAGAACGAAGTCTGGTAGACATCTCAGGGCGCTCCACTACACTTTCTCGATATTTTCTGGAGTACGAACAGTTCGCCACCTTGGCAAGTCTTCAACTTCACCTGTTTGTTCAAATTTCGGCACCAACTGACGAATGGTGTTGACACTGGACACATTATTTCGACCGAAATCTTGTCTTAGCTTCCGAATCGTTGCAACAATTGACTCATTATTTTAACGATAGGGACGCGTTGTGGGTTCGTGAAGCGCTCCCGTGAAGCGCTCCATGATGAATTGGACACATCTGCTTTAAACAACTACTACGGCGCCGCCTACTGAAATGCGTGTATCAAAAATGGCGCACAAATCAAGTCAGTCAGTTATATATTGGCCACCCTATATCTGCTCCAGTACATTTTATTTGAAAGTAAATATCGTGAAGCCTAAAATTTATAATTTCTTACAGGAACTCAATCGGCTCAGAAAAGCAGCTATATCTCTGGGTTTTCTGGACCTACTGAACGGCCTGGCGTACATATTCGAACAAGAATGTATGCAATTACCTGGCACTGCTCATCCAGACTGTGCACTGCAATTACAACATGCTGCAGATGTCTTGAGGAAAACACAGAACAGAGATATCAAATATGTTATCATTCCTTTGCAAACTAATTATACTTCTTCGTAATTTCCAGTTAAAATAGCTTCATATAATTTCTATACAAAACCTTATCATTTGTTTATTATATTTATTATTTATAATAGAACTAGCTACAGAATGAAAAACATGCCTGGTTTTGCTGAACAATTTTTATTTTATTTTTACGGAGAATATTCTAGCAAAGTGAAAGTTTGACCGACAGAAGACATACTAGAAATGTTAGCCTACTTATCAGCATGGTCTATGCTTGGTCGCTTGTCTCTGGATGAATGAACGAAAACAACGCAACTGTGCGGAGGTACGGTCTATCGAAATTCCTGTAAGCCAGCGCAAAGCGCCATCTATTTGTTTACATTTGTTTATAGTTGTAGTCACCGTTCTTGGCGGGTCAAAGTAAGATACCAGTATCCCTTTATATATCTCCATCTCCACCATACATACACATGCAACCTACCCCTATGTGCCAACGTTTGTTCGTAAGCTCAAAGACATACGTTTTTTTTTTTGTTGTTGTGTCTCCGTCTCGAAAAGTTTTTCGTTACGTATGAATGCCCTTTAATCATATTTATCAGAGTGTCAACTCACTTGACATCGGTGTGCAATTTGTGTTCTTTTATCAATCTTCAATATAAAATTGTATTTACAATGCCTGGAAATACGATCAATGTAGAAGGCCGACAGATCGTGCTAAATTTATTAGAGTATTTCCAAAAAGAGAATGAAAACAGCGGTCCCCTGATATAGTCAAAATCACGAAAGATGACTATTACGTCATACCATAAATTGTACAGAAGTAATCAATGGGCGTACGTCGGTGATAAAATCACGAGTCAGGAACATAACAAATTTATATTATGATTTTTCGAAGTTAGGTTATTTCACTGATTATTTTTATTTTTATTTTATTTCATGGTTTTGAGTGATACCTTAATAATAATTTTAATGGGGAGTTTTTGTTTTGAAAGGAACAGTTATGAATAGAATACCTTAAGACAGGAACATCAACATAACCTAACTATTCATTTTTCAAATATGATCGATCATGCAACATGAAAACATCGTCTATCTTTGTCGGATACATGCAAACTAGCAATACAGTTTGTTTAGACAATAAAATTCCGTTTGTCCCTGTCTAACATAACAGAAACTTCATCAAATATATTCACAAATCGCTGTCGTTTATCTTTACTACAGACTAAAATGATGACGTAATCGTCATCTTTCGTGATTTCGACTTTACCCACTTCATGCGTACTGGAGAGAGTAGCAGTTGTGCTGAAGATTAGTCTGCGCCCATGGTACGGACCTCGATCTGTTTACTTATTTCTGCCAAGAACCGGGACTACAACTATAGATGATATTGTGTTTGCTAAAATATGACACATGCAAGGTCTTCCGTACTTCCATACCTAATGGTAGTATAGTCACCTGGACTAGGCGGACGGTTAAAAATACAGAGCCGGACTTATTTTTTTGTTTTTTATCAATCCAGCGCCTTTTAAGCTGAAAATTGGAAAGTTTGACTCAGCACAAAAAAGCCAATGAATGGTGCTAACTAATTAACAAAATAGATTGATTGCGACTATTTTATTTTTTTAGGTAAACATTTTTATTTTATTTAATTATCTTACTTTTAGCAGTTTATGTGACACATGTTTACATGCTCTTGCCTCAACTCTACGATAGATTTTGTTACATAATGGTACATCACACAATCAAATGTCAAGTCCGGACGGACTTAGGTACTTCGTTTTTGTGAATTTTCAACTTAATATTAAGTTGGTCTGGGAGGTCAAATTTAGTGGAATTGCATATTAAATGCCGTTTCCCTTTTAAGGAGAACAATATCAGTTGGTAGAATTGAATCATTAATGAAATTACCAAAAAAGTGTGCATAACATTATTTTGCACTTTTATTTATATTTATTATTTATTTATATGCACTTTTTTCTACGAAATATTAAATAATAATATAACTTGCAGTAAAGGGAAATAAAAAAACTGAATCCGACCCTGGTATGTCGAGTTCCCAAAACAACTTTAGTTCAGTTTCAAGCTGTTTTGTAAAATAATGAAACCAAGCTGATAACCCTTGAAATTTTGAATTTTGTGTCACATAAGCTGCTAAAAATATGATATTTAAATAAAAAATAATAATCACTTGGCACCATTGGCTTTATTTTTGTACATAGTGAAACATTTCAATACTCAGATCAAAAGATGTTGATTTCATGAAAAACAAAAGTGAAAAAAACCCTGAATTTTCAACCCGTCTTTGTGCAAAGTTTCAACAAAATCGGTTCAGTAGTGATTGAGATATGTGATATTGAAGATTTGGCATGTTTAGATAAAATAAAAACTGAATTTAGAACTTATTTATTTTCAAACATGAAAAAACTATCTACCTATTATATTATATCCATTTAAGTACGGAACGTCCTGTATAGGCTACTTTTTACGACAGGAGAACATATGATTTCTACGAAAAAGCACAATATAAGTGTACAGGTGGTGCCACTTACATGGGTCGAAAAGCTAGTAAATTCATGAAATAACCCAAATTTTGAAATCAACATATTGCACTAAACAAAAATTTTTCATTGCTAAAGCTACCACCCTGCCAAATTTCGAGTCTCCACTTAGATTATATAAGTAGATATAAAATTGCGACAGCCCATGGACCCCTTAGTTCGTCCCTTTCACAAGATCCATTATTAGATTAAGACTGCTCTTATTGTCCATTAACTGACAGCTACTGCTTATAAAGTATTTCCCTGTTAAATTCCAGATCTCTAGTAAAAAAGCAAAAGATTTTATCCTATCTTAATCCAAAGCTGTCACAAAATCTGTTATTGCTAACATGCTCTGTTCATAAACTGCCAAATTTCATGTTAGTGGGCCAAATAGTTTTCGATATAAGCATCTATAAACTTGACTTGAAAATTGATAAGGTTCCCCATATAAATATTCAACCTTCTCCTACCCATCTCAAGGATTTAATTTCTAAGATTCTTTGTTATTTCGAAGATTAAATTACATGCAAAACATACTCCTGTTTCTAGGCTGGTGTAATTTGAAATGTTCTTAACAAATTCCTCAAATGTGTTAACCCCACTTCACCCCCTTAGGAGGAATTTAGAAAATTCCTTTTTAAGTGCTCATTATATTATATCAAAGAATGAAATATAAAAAATCCACAGTAGTGAACCTAACGTAAAAAACAAATGTTCTCTCATAACTTTTACCCCATATTTCAACCCCTTCAAGTTTTAGTTTTGCAACAGAAGGTAGCCTATACCTGTCTTCACTGTCTAATCAATCTCTATGCTAAAATTAATCATAATCGGTTCATCCGTTTTGATGTGAAAACGGAAAATACATACAAACATACATTCACAGTTTCGCATTTGTAATGTCAATATCATAATATATCATAAATGAGTATTGTATTGTTAATAGTGATTATATGTTTACAGTTCCGCCTAGAGTATGTCATAATATTGGCTGACCCCTCAAAATCATGAAATACCTGTAGCCGTTCAGACCAAATACATATACAGGGTGTCCAGTAAGTACCACTATAAACTTAAGGAGAAGGTAGGCTTTGGACTGTCCTCCCAAATAATAAAAACTTACCTATATAAAAGTTTCACCGTTTTTGAGATATTGATTTTTTTCTTAAATTTAAAAAACGAAACTTTTCATCTGTGGTCTTTAGCTGCATGTACAAATAAGGTTATACATACTTTGTTCATTTTTTCTGTAAAATACTTCTAGATAGTTGCTTTATCATATACAAATGCAATGTAGTTAAAATATATACCCGTCCTTTACAAAAATAATTCTTTTGTATTGTTACTGACTCGAGTCCAAATTTCAGTAAGTTTCATAAAATCATATCAGGAGCCGGTAATAATAATGTAGCCTTGTATTATTTAGCATGTCACTGATCGGTAACCAGTGCAACTTGAATTTAAATCCAATAATTACATTGTAATGTGTGTCAGTCACTTACAAAAGCAGCTATCAGTTTTTTCTATTCCAAATAGTACGTGTGGTGCCTTTCTGAAATCTGTATTCAATGAGCAATCTTTTTATTCGTTATAATGCAGTTATAGCCCAGTACATTTTTGTTTCACCACAGATGGTCAAAGTTGAGGAAAAAATATCATAAGTTTATAAATCCCAAAATAGTCCTTATTTGATCATGGTTCCTTAATATCTTTTAACTACATTGCATTTGTATATGATAAACCAACTATCTAGAAATATTTTATAGAAAAAATGAACAAAGTATAACCTTATTTGTACATGCAGCCAAAGACCGCAGATGAAAAGGTTCTTTTTTTGAAGATTTAAGAAAAAAATCAATATCTCAAAAACGGTGACACGTTAATATAGGTAAGTTTTTGTTAATTGGGAGGTCTGTCCAAAGCATACCTTCACCTTAAGTTTGTCGTGGTACTTATTGGACACCCTGTATATGTATTCATCTCCATATTGCTCCAATCGGAAAATAAAACTACAAAATATGGAGAAATTTGTAGCAAAAATGTTAGTGAAGTAAATTGGTCAACATTGTTGGTTTCATTTATTGTCCAAGTCAATATGGATATGGTTTAGGCACGTAACCACAGGGTTTTTTGGAAGTAACATTACAAGTATTTCGTTGGAAAATCTACTTACTTTCACTTTACTGGCACCAATTAAGATTTTTCGTGATTTGGAGAATATTACTCTAACATATAATCTATTTGCCAGTTTTACGCGAGATAAAAACCTGCATTACTAATTTTCCGAACTTTGGCAATAAAAAAAACATAATAAAGCTCTAGTAATACAACTGCTGTAATGAAACATTGATAGTGAAACTATAAAAATAGTATTCAAATTGCTATTGTACAATGGTGGTAACTTAAATTTCTCTATTGTGCTATTACGAAAATCATGCGAACCTATGTGTACACAGTTGAACATATTTCTTTGGAAAGATGCTATCAAGTATAAAAATGACATGGCTAAACTAAATATCACCAGTCGTTTAATGTCAAAGGAAGCTTTGGAAGAAGAGGATTCCTTATCTCTTATAGAGGATTTTACTAATTTGATAACTAAAATAACAACACTAAGCAGTAATAAAGGCATGGGTAAGAACACCCTGAACACTAAAAGTACCCATTGCAAGGTATCTCCAAAAGTATGTTCAATGATTACACAAATTGACTCGTCTTTGAAATTCAACACAGCTGATAAGACAAAACTCGGTATGCTGAGAGAAAAACAAAAAAACCATATCATCGCTGAAGGTAATATAATGGAAAAATCGTTCCGCTTTTTTTTCTTTCTATAATCAATATTAATCTCTCTACTAGCAGTTTCTTTGCTGGTACTTGCTTCATAGGTTTCATTGCTTACACCACGCTCGTTAGTAACCAAGCACTCGCTAGACTCATCACAAGCAATCGATGCATCCTTGACTCCATACGTGGTAATGTTGCGATTATGGAGATTCCACAGCGATATCACGTGGAAATTTAAGCAAAGTGTCAGCCACAGAGTTAACGTGTTGAAGAAGACTTCGCTGCCGTTGTAGAACCAGCATAGTTCAGAAGAAAATTGCCAGGTGCTACTGTTTACCGTGAGTATCTCCAATAGGGCAACAAATGGGAGAAAAATGTCGATCAGTAAGAGCTGTAGCATCAAGGATAAAGTACCTGAAAGGAAAATAATATTTAATAAATCATTAAATCATTTCATTCCAGTATTTAGGGTATGTGCCACTATATACATGACGGATTTTTACACAGAATAGCATGCGGGAGGTTACCTACTAAAAGCAGGGAAATATGTTTCGTTCTTCCGACCTCATAATTATGGCCAAGCATGGACAGATGTGATTTAGGCCCACTTTTGCAATAACATTGTATTTTCGCCTGTAGCAACTTTGAGTGGAGAGAGAGCGGATATGAACAAAAGATTTTGACCATAAAAGCAAAATATCAACGATTTATAGTACACAGCAGTGTAGGGCAGAGATTGTTCTAAAGACATTGTTAAGATACTGCGAGCATCCGTTTGTGATTCTGTCTGCACCAAACCCAGTTGATATATGATGTTGGAGGATATTTAGCAATGCTTTAAAAAAATGTTCATCATTAAGCTTAATTATACGGTAATTTTGAGGGAAATATTGTAAAAACAAAAAAATCGAAATCAAAATAGCATAATACTCGGAAAGTATTGTTTAAATTTTGTGAAGCAAGATTACTACCGTAGCAAGGAAAAAAAAAACTTTACAGGTATTGAAAATCGATTCAATATTGTGGAATTTTTCAAAACATTAATAGGCCGTAACCCCTCCATAACTCGAAAAATATCACCCAAATTTTGTAGGATTTCAAAATCGACCCAGTGGCAATTATAAGGACTATTGAAGAGATTGTAAACTTCATTTTCTGATGTTTTTCAGCTACCTCATATCTCTAGAGTGCATTCGAAAAAACTTTGAGTGCTCATTTTAAAAGCAAGTTATGTTTTATATTTCAAATTAACACGTCACCAATGACACAATTTTCACATCAATCTACTTGACTCCGCTTGGTTAGCAGGAAAACTCGGCAAGTGTCGGACATAGTGATAGCAATATGAAATCTGCGCCGCCGAATCCAGACCCGTTTTACTTAACTTAAGAAGTATCATTGAATCGATTTTTTATGACATTATCTAGGTTTTTTACGTAATAACCCCACTGTATGATGTAATAAACTAGGTACTAGCTATAGTCTAATCACATTAGACGAAAATACCTCTTGTTAAGAAATAACCATAAAGTCTGGTTTTATTGATGCAAGTTGTTTTATTTTAAACATGGAGGCATAAAATGGGTACACCAATTTTTGTGGGAAAACTTTTTATTCGACAACAAAGAATGAGAAAACGTATTTCTTGGGATTCAATCGAAAGTGTTGCTGGGAACGGAAAAACTCTCCAAATAAGATTTTTAGGTATTTCCGACACCTACAAAATGAGACCACACGTAAAAAAATTCGTTTAATAGTAAAGAAGTTATGGCCGAAAAACGAGGCAAAATGCAGGTTTTGGCACTTGATGCTAATGCGACGATAATTTCACGCAGCTACTTGACATTCTTCATATCCGTAGGCTTCATACTTCTAAGTAACCACAACAAAATTGGAGTCGATTGGTCAAGTAGTCTTTCAGAATTTCTAATTGTTTATCCCAAAACACCTGTCTTCCGGCCATCACTACTAGCTTACTGAGCAATATACAGGATTCGTTCAAACTGCAATTCATAGCAAAATACACCAGTTTATCATGCCGATATAAATCATAAACCATTCCGAAAGATAATTCTTGTTTTTATGCGAAAAACGAAGGGTTACCTTTTTTCTTCTAAACAGATTAAAACATTTCGTATTTGTGAGTAACTGAACAGATTCGCGACGATATTCGAAAAATATAGGTCATTATACACATTTTAAAACAAAGCGGATGTGTCCATCACCTTTTGTTGCCAAGAAAACAATTTTCTTCATACTCTTGTGTATACATATTTAGAGCTGAAATTCTTACACGGTCACAGATGAGCCCTAAAGTTGATAAAAATTAATATTTGATACCTAAATGCGCTGAACTGTTTATAAAGTTAGCACGCAAAATGAAGACAATTATGTTTCAAACTGTCTTAACCTAGTTAGTATGTAGCATGTGCTAAATGGCTACATTATTGATCACTGCATGACTGTCAAATAAGTAGGTCACGTAATCCAGTTTTTTTACGAAGAAATATAATTCCCTGGACCTTTTTTCTAAAAGCTTTAGTATAGTATACGTCTGTTTTCGAAATCTCGTACGATTAAAACGACTGCGAGTTCAAAATATTGGAAAATAAACTCGACAAAAAAAAAAACAGACAAATATCAACCAATTATAACGAACTGACCGTCTTTGTATCTTGTATAGTTTTCAAGAGTATTTTAATTGTTTATAATAGATTTGATAAGTCTTCAACGTTCGCTTGACATTTGTCAGTGTCAAGTGTAGTAGTATAAAGATCCAGTAAACCAAGAGGCGTCGTAGCGTAGTGGAAGAGAGCGGTGATTTCTTAACCGCAGGACGGAGGTTCAAATCCACAAAGCTCCTTTTTGTGCTATCAATTTTTTTTTTCAAATTTGGAGAAATGAATGTTTTTTCACATTATGTGTACTTTTATTGCGATCAAACAGTTTTTCGGACGCCATAGATAATGTAAGCTTACAAATAGGAAACCAGCGGTAACGTACGAGTATTTATATAATTTTTTATATTACTTTGATGAAATTTCAGAAACACTATGTCGGATCATAGCAGATAATTTTTGAAAACATACATCTTGGATGTGTAAACTCTTAACCAGCAATAATGAAATACATCAGAAATTTTGTTTGTGGCAATACGCCCAAGTTTTCGATACGTCAAATTAGGTACCTCTTGGAGCCGCAGAGCATGCTAATAAAATTAAGTGACCAACCCACAGTTTCTCTCTTTATCAAGTAACTGTTAAGCGTAGATGCTCATTTCATCAACAGCGTTGACTTTTTTGCATAGTTTGTATTTATTAATTTCGTCTTTCATTATTGTTGGTTAATAATTTACACATCTAAGATATATATTTTCAAAAATTATCAGCTATGATCTGAAATAGTGTTTCTGAAATTTCATCAAAGTAATATAAAAAAAAATATAAACTATCATACGTATACCGCTGGTTTCCTGTTTACAAACTTACATTGTCTATGGCGTACGAAAAACTGTTTGCTCGCATAATTTAAAAAAACATTTATTTCTCCAAATTTAAAAAAAAAAATTGATAGCACAAAAAGGAGCTTTGTGGATTTGAACCTCCGTCCTGCGGTTAAGAAATCACCGCTCTCTTCCACTACGCTACGACGCCTCTTGGTTTACTGGATCTTTATACCACTACACTTGACACTGACAAATGTCAAGCGAACGTTGCAGGCATATCAAATATGTTATAAACAATTAAAATACTACTGGAAACTATACAAGATACAATGCTGAAACTTTAAATAATGTATTAGGGACTAATACCGAGCATTTTGCCTAATTTTGAAAATGGTCAGCTCGCTACAATTGGTTGATATTTGTCGACTATTTTTTCGTTTTCTCGAGTTTATTTTCCAATATTTTGAACTCGCAGTCGTTTTAATCGTACGAGATTTCGAAAACAGACGTATAGTATACTAAAACTTTTATAAAAAATTCCCAGAGAATTATATTTCTTCGTAAAGGAACTGGATTACGTGACCTACTTATTTGACAAAGTCATGCAGTGATCAATAATGCAGCCATTGAGCACATGCTACATACTAACTAGTCTAAGACAATTTGAAACATAATTGTGTCTACATTTTGCGTGATAGCTTTATAAATAGTTCAGCACATTTCAGTATGAAATATCTATTTTTATAAACTTTAGGGCCCATCTGTGATCATGTAAAAATTTAAGCTCTAAATATGTATACACAAGAGTATGAAAATCTCTTGAAAAAAAATTATTTTCTTCGCAACAAAAGGTGATGGCTTTGTTTTAAGATGTGTATAATAATGTATGTTTTTCGAATATCGCAGCGAATCTGTTCAATTACAAGCAAATGTTTGAATTTGTTTAGAAGAAAAAAAAACGCAGCCTTACGTTTTTTGTAGAAAACAACAATTATCTCGGGATGGTTTGTGATTTATGTCGGCAAGGTAAACTGATGTATAAAAAAAAAATTATTTTCTTCGCAACAAAAGGTGATGGCTTTGTTTTAAGATGTGTATAATAATGTATGTTTTTCGAATATCGCAGCGAATCTGTTCAATTACAAGCAAATGTTTGAATTTGTTTAGAAGAAAAAAAACGCAGCCTTTCGTTTTTTGTAGAAAACAACAATTATCTCGGGATGGTTTGTGATTTATGTCGGCAAGGTAAACTGATGTATTTTGCTATGAATTGCAGTTTGAACGAACCCTGTATATTGCTCACAAAGCTAGTAGTGATTTTGATTATCTAATTTGTTGTTTTTTTAGAAAACAATGCACTCTTGGAAAAAAAAACAAGAGTCATTATTTGTAGCAAATTGAAGGTAAAAATCGAAAAATTGAGCGTTTCGAAAAAAAAAACGTTGGGTACTATTTTTATTTGAAAAAATAATGCCACTAATCCCCTGTATCTCTGCCTCTGGCGAACTTTACTTTTAAGTAAAGTCGTTGGAATGTGGACGATACTTAGGTAAAACCACATACCAAATTTTAGTTCATTCCAGTTGACGGTTTTGAAGATATAAAAAAATTGTTTTTTATTTTTGAACTCGACACCCGGTTTTTTTTAATGAAGCCCTCGAGGAAAATATGTTACATAGAAGACCCCCCTTAAAATGCGGTCCTGTGTATGATGTTTCATTTTTGGACACGACTAGTGAATGATCCTGTATACAAATATAATCAGTGCGATTTGACCATTGATTCCTGGCTAGATCCATTATTGATATGAAAAATAAAAATGCTACTGATTATTCTGCAAAGAATTGAGTAATGGTTGAGATGAAAATGTCAAGGCAATTCACTAGACTGCTTAAAAGTAGTAGAAGTGGTAAAAATTTTAGACAGATTTTTCCACAGTATGAATATGACAGAAACACAAGATCGCTCA